AATATTTGACTCAACACCAACAGAGTATGGAGTGTTCATTTTAGGACAGAAAAGAAGGCTAAGCAATCTAAAAACATTCAAGACCTATTAAAATATGGTCTTCTATTAGGTGTTTAACATCCCAAAATCAATCAGTAAACTTAATCCCAGCTGAGCACTCATGCCTGTAATCCTAGCTACTCAGGAGGCAGAGATCAGGAGGATCGAGCCAGGGAAAATAGTTCACAAGACCCTATCTCGAAAAAACCCATCACAGAATAGGGCTGGTGGGGTGGCTCAAGTAGTAGAGTGCAGCCTAGCAAGCGTGAGGCCTTGACTCCAAACCCCAGTACCACCAAAAAATCTCAGTCAAGTAGAAATAGAGACATCCTCAACTTGATAAAATATGTCTATGTAAAACCTACAGCTAGTATACTTAATAACGAATGACTTCCTTTTAAGGTCTGGAATGAGACAGAGACGTCTGCATTTGTCACCACTACTCAATGTTGTCGTTAAGACTCCAAACATTCTAATGAGGCAAGGAGAGGAAATAAAAGAAAATTGAGAAGTAAAACTGTCTTGCTACTGACAGCATGATGGTGAAAAAAAAAAAAACCTGATAATGCACAGAAAGCTTCTAGAACTAACAGTGAGTTTAGCCAAGTTGAAGACTCTAAGATCAACACACAAACTCTTGGCATTTCTGGGTCTTAGCAATGAACTTCGGAAACTGAAATTCAGAAATCATTAAACACCTAAGATACTTAGATATAAGCCGGTGCTGGTGGCTCACACCTGTACTCCTAGCTACTCAGGAGGCAGAGATCAGAAGGAACATGGTTCAAAGCCAGCCTAAGCAAATAGTTCACAAGACCCTATCTCAAAAAAAACCTTCACAAAAATAGGGCCGGTGGAGTGGCTCAAGGTGAAGGCCCTGAGTTCAAGCCCCAGTACCTAAGGAAAAAAAAAAAAAATACTTAGAGACAAATCTGACAAAAGGTGTGAAACATCTCTACACTAAAAGACTACAAAACGTTCCTGAAAGAAAATTCTAAAAGCCTAAAGAGTGTTAGAGATTCAAGGTTTTCACAGGATGAAAGACTGAATATAATTAAGAAGCAATTCTTGAGGATTGGTGGAGTGGCTCAAGTGGTAGAGCACCTGCCTAGCAAGCCTGAGGCCCTGAGTTCAAACCCCCGTGCCTCCAAAAGAAAAGAGTTTCAAGAAGCAATTCTTCCGCCATCTGTCCCCTCAACACATCACTCAAAAGCACAGCATTTTTTGTAAAAACTGGCAAATTGATTATAAAACACAAAGCATTTATAATGGCCAAAACAGCTGCAAATACTATGCACAGTGAAGTGCATGATTTGATAAATGCTCTACATATTTTGAAAATATTTCTCCAGTTTAAAAATCCTAAACTGAGAGCCAGGCTTGGCAGCTCATGCCTGTAATCCCAGTACTCCAAAGACTGAGGCAGGAGGAGCTCCAGTTGGAGGCTGGCTTGGCCTACACAGTGAGATCCTGCTTTAAATAAATGATTAAATTACTAAAGAGAATTTCAGTCAAAATGTGTTCACAGGTTCCTATAAAACTGACAAAGACATGAGTTTGAGTGAATGCTTTGAATTCTGGTTTTTTTAGGGTGTTGGGGGGTGCTGGGCATTGAACCCAAGGCCTCACATGTGCCAGGAATCATCTACCACCGAGCTACATTCCCAGCCCTCGAATTTAGATATTTGACAGTTCCAATTCAACCCCCAAAAATGTCAACTACTCTCTCTTTCAAAAGCAAAACAAGTGCTGAGCACACAGGCCACACCTGCTCCTCCTTCACCTGTGATAGAGTAATCCCTCATGAGGCACTCCTAAAGAATGGGGTTGTCAGAGGACAGGTCCCAAGGTGCCATCCCAACTTTATTTTGAAACATTTGTATTAGTAGATGACAGTTATCCAGGGGGATTCACTGTGACATTTCCATATGTACATATATTGTACCCTGGTTTGGTTCATCCGCTCCATTTTTCTCCCAACTTAACAGCACATTCTGGGACCACCCCAGTCCTTCCCTGCTATTCAAAGCTGTCTGGTAACCAGGACTTTTCTATCATGACCAGTTCTAGATCCAGTCTTCCAACAACCTCAGGTTCCTCAGCAGCCTTGACCATGAACCATACCTCTCCTAATGTGCACAATGATGTCATCCAGACAGTCAAGAGGGGAAGCACCCTGAATCACCAGCGCTTCTGCACTGGCTCTGCCCCCTGCAATCCAAGCTGGGTGGCCCTGGGCAAGCCACAGCCTCTCTTAGTGGAAAGGACACCCTCCCCCCTCCTGCCTCTTCACAGAGCTAAAGTAAATGTCAAAGCTACAGCAGAACTTGGGCAGAGTTGTTAAAACAGCCTGGCCTTGGCTCCACCCCAGACCAATTAAACCCTGGAATGTTTTCACAGCACACCAGGTGACTCTAATTGCAGCCCCTCTACACAACAGCCTGCACTGTGAGGATCTAGACTCCTATAAAGCACTACTACTACACGCTCCTTCCTTTTTTTGTTTTGTTTTGGTAGACTTGGAGATTGAACTCAGGGCTTCACATCTGCAAAGCAGCGTGAGTGAGTCACACTTCCAGTCCATTTTGCTCTGGGTTTTTTTGGTTTTATTTTGTGGAGATGGGGTCTCATGAACTATTTACCTGGGCTGACCTCAAACCTTGATCCTCCTGATTTCAGTCTCCCAAGCAGCTAGGATTACAGACCAGATCCACCAGCACCTTCTTCTTCTTTTTGTTTTGTTGTTTTGTTTTGTTTTGTTTTGCAGTACTGGGATTTGAACTCAGGACCTCACACTTGCTAGGCAGGTGCTCTACAACTGGAGCCACTCCACCAGCCTTGTTTTGTATTGGGTGTTTTCAAGATAGGGTCTTGGGAACTATTTGCCCAGGGTTGGCTTTGAACCACTTATCCTCCTGATCTCTGGATTACAGGCGTGAGCCACATGCTCCCAGCTCTTATTGCCTTCTTGACAGCACAGGTCCAACCCCTCAAAAAGATAACGGTCTTGCTAAAACCGAAATTCACATTAGCAAGGTGATTCAGTGCCATCATCACCCTTCTACAAATGCAGATGGTGACATGCAAGACTCCCTACACCACAGCCACCCTCGGTGTTATGCATTCAAGTGCCTGACAAACACATCCCTGGTGATAAGGCCCCAGCTGGCATGCTTTACAGTTATTCCTTCACTGGAACCACACTCTTTCCCTTCTATTCTCTGTGGGCCCTGTCCAGCTGACAGACAGTGAACCATGGAACTCTCAATTAATATCTGTGCACCAAATAAATTGGCCATAGTCAGTGGGCCAAGGAGGGATACTGTGACCTTTTCATTCTTTACAAATACCTTTATTCCAAGAAGGGAGAAAGGCACACTGTTTTCCTGCTGCCTTCTCCCTCACTGGTCCACAGCGAGAAGCAGCAAAGAAGGGAACAGCAGAGGCTCTGTGGCGCCTGCACAGCCTTCCCAATGCTGGACCTACGGGGAGTTTATTTAAGATAGTGTAATAACATCTGTGCACCCCATCGGACATGACATCTTGGTTGTAAAAGGACACTAGACAGGATCAGACTGCCCTTGTCTTCACACGACACTGAGCTTTCATATCTGGGAGGGGAGGAGGGGGAAGGGGAGGGTAGCAACCAAGCCAAGCAGCCAGCAGCAGCTGAGTTCAAGAATCTAAATTGCATTGCATTTAATTCTTAGGAGTTCGGCCTTGCAAGAGAGTAGCTAGCAAGACTGCTGGTTCAAAAAGGACTCCCTGAGGGAAACTCGGTAATTAGTCATGATTGTGAGCAAGAAAAACTTCTGCAAAGCTGGGCAGGGAGCAGCAAGCTCCAGGAGCATGCTACAGTCTGCCCAGATACAAAACCTACACCAGAACCTCCCAGCTAGGAAGTCTCCCCTGGCAAAATAGTTTCACACCCAACAACACAAGGTTACAGCCTCACAATCCCTCAGCTAAGGGTTTCCTTTCAGGGAAGAAATATCCAACCCACCAGAGGAAGCGGATTTAGGTGGGCATTTGGGTAGCTGCCTAGCTACCCTGCATAGCATTCTGGGCAGGCAAAAAAACACTCTTAGTTCAACTTTACTCTGATTTTAAACAGACAGAACACTTCCCACATCAGCAGACAAGATCCCAGACCACAGAGAAGCTTGGGGTGGGTACCAGGGACAGAAGGGACCCCACTCCACGCACAGCGTCCCCACTTAGGTTTTTGCTGCTACCCTGCAATAAGAATGCATGCACTCAGACCAGGTAAACTGGTATGTGCCCAACAGTCACTCTTCTTCAGAACCTTACCTAAGTTTCTGGCAACACAATGCAGTTAGGCGTGATTGTTGGCGGGGGAGTCTGAACGCAGTGGAGAGCCCCTGCACCCCTATGCAGGATGCCGGTGGTCCCCAAACGGACCTGGGACTTCCAGGACATCAGCACAGCTTGCAATAAACACGCGCGTGGAACGATGTCTGCGAGATGACCAAGGTCCCAGTTCCCTAAGGGCACGGGCACGGAGGGCGCGCACACAGCGCACGCCAAGAGCACACGCAAGCACTTGCGCGCACTAATACGCGCGCAAACCTGGCAAGGCCACGTGCGTGCCGGCCCGCAGGACCCCAGGCCCTGTGCACTCCCCCCACACACATGTCCCGCACGCCGGTGCGTCCCAAGTCCCAGTGCCGCGCTCTATCCCAACTCTGTCCCCAATCCCAGGTCCCAGCTCTGTCCCGGGTCCCAGCGCCACTCTCAGTCCCAGCTCTGTGTCCTATCCCCGATCCCAACGACGCGCTCCGTCCCCAATTCCCAGTCCCTGCTCTGTCCCCAGCTGTGTCCCCAGTCCCAGTGCCGCACTCTGTCTCAGCTCTGTCCCCTATCTCCGGTCCTAGCCCTGCACTCTGTCCCAGCTCTGTCCCCTGTCCCCGATCCCAGCACCGCTCTCCGCACGCCCTCACCTGGCGCCGGCGCCCGCGCGCCCCGGCCTCACGCGCCAATCTCGCCCCGCGCAACCGCATGGCCGCCCTGCCGTCCGCAGGGGGTCCCGCTTGACGAGGACTGCTGACCCTCCCCAAGGGAGCTCCCCAGCAGCGGATGGCTCCTGGGCTCCCTGCTGTGCAAGTCTCAGGAAAGGGTCAAGGCCGAGAGGTCCCCAAGGGCTCTAGGAGACTGCGCGCACCGTCTCCACGGCCACTCCTGCCCATCAGAAGTCAGACGCCGGGAACAAAAGCCAGGCTCGAGCGCGGGGCCCGCCGCGTCCCTCCATCTGACACGAATTAGCCCTTCCTCCCCGCCCAGACCGCCGCGCAGGCTGCTCTGCCAGACACGGGAAAAGTGGGCGAAGAAACGCCTGGGAGGCAGGGGGGGGCCTCGCCTTCCCGCCGCCATCTGACTGGAATTACCGACGCTTGGCTCGGGGTGCGCCCTGACTAGGATTTCAAACCTCTAAGCGCGCTGACCACCGAGGGGCCTGGAAGAACCAAAGCCCTCAGGCTCTGAGGCTTTCAGAATTTTTAAATCTTGACAATTCTCCAATAAACCCTGCATCTGTAATGGGGCACCGGTAATTGACACTACCCAGCAAAGTGCACTGGGAATAGAAAGAAGAAAAACACCAAGGCAGAAAGGTTTTGTTGTTTTGTTTTGTTTTTTCCTCCTCCAATTTGCCTTTTTCAATTAAGAAAAACAAGCAGGCTGACCTTGCTGGAGAAAGTGGGTGACCGGTGGGGATTTTATGCAAAGCTCAAATCAAGTGACTTTGTATGGCCTTGCTCACGGAAAAGCAAGTCAGAAACCCAGAAAGTGTGAGGGTCTCTTAGAAAAGCCAGGAGGGGAGTGTGGACAGCTCCTTGCCAGTCCTGAGGGGCTTCCAGGGAACTGTGTCCCCATGGCGGTACTGCTTGCTAAGCAAGCACTCTACCTCTTGAGCCATGTCTCCAGCCCTTTTTGCTTAGTTTATTTTGCAGAAAGGATCTCCCACTTTTGCCTGGGCTGACCTCCGACCTCAGTCCTCTACCTCTGCCTCCTGAGTAGCTGGGATCACAGTTGTGCACTACTATGCCCATCTGGCAGTAATATATGTTTGTCTGTTTTGTTTTGAAGTATTTTGAGCCACTCCACCATCCCTTCTTTTGCAATGGTTTTTTTTATTTTAGATAGGGTCTCTTGAACTATTTGCTGGGGCTGGCTTCAAACCATGATCTCTGCCTCCTCAGTAACAGGCATGAGCCACTGGCGCCCAGCTGGCACTAGCATTTTATATGCATAATCTCACTTAAGTTTTACGGGTCACACAGTAGATGGATATTGTCCCCACTCTGTACCTGGGGAAAAAATTAAGACTCAAAATAGTCAGGGGACTTTTGCCAGAGTAGAAGCTCTATGGCAGGTCTAACTGCTAAGCAATTAAAAGTCTGCTCTGAAGATGGATGAGTTCAAACCGAAGCCACTGCCTTGCATTTATGGGGTCCAGGAAAGGAGACCCCCTGCCAGAGCCTCAGCCAGCTGTAGCTCTAGTAATGAGGCCCTTGGGGCCTGGGCTCCAGGCCCAACCTATATGTGGGTTCTAAGGACCTGTAGTGTCCCAGAGCCTCAGTGGCTCTGACACTAACTTGAGATCTAGAAGACCAAAGATTGGAAGTACAGTGTGGGTGGGCCATGCAGGGCCTTTCTGGCTACCACATGTGCAAATTCCAGCCATCAATTCAACCTGTCAGGTTCTGGCACTAAATATCTATCTTTCTGTTTCTGCAGTGGAGTGGCAAAGGCTGTTTTTCAACTTTCAACTACAAAAAAATGCAAAGAAAACCCAAAATGCCTCCTTGCCTGGAACATGCCACTCTAGGTTCCAATTTCTCACATGGTCATCAAGGATTCTCCCCTCCCCCCACCCCTCTAAATGAGGTCATTATTCATCTTTCATTCACTTTTCTGTATTCATTCATCAATACTCTTTTTTTCCCTATGGCTTATTCAAATGTTAGTTCTAGTAAAAGTCTGTCAGTCACATTCCTATATACACATCTCTGTCCCCCACATGACTGAGAACACGTCTGTATTACATTCATTCCAGATTCCCCACATCTAACCCAAGATGGAGTACACAGCAGCATATAACTCAAAGGTAGGTGATTCAGCCAGGCAATGGTAGCTCACTCCTGTAATCCTAGCTACTCAAGAGGATCACAATGCAAAGCCAGCCTGGGCAGATAATTGGACAAACCCTATTTCGAAAAACATCACATAAAAAGGTCTGGTGGAGTGGCTCAAGTGGTAGAGCACCTGCCTAGCAAGTGTGAGGTTCTAAGTTCAAATCCCAGTACCGCAAAAAAAAAAAAAAGCCACTACCTCACTCAATTCAAACACCATGAAGGTTGGTCCTGGGAATCTCAGGGGGCACTGATGGTACCCATGCAGATGGGAGATCATGTATCCCTGTGTTTCAACACATCCTGGACATCAGCACAGAGCTAAGGGGTCCTAGAAAAGAATGGAAGGTTTCTACAAGTCACTTGGATCTTCCACCACCCTTACTGTGGTGCCAGTGGGAACCAGCAGGAGGAATCTGAATTCAGCAATGGACAGACAGCCCCCAAACACAATAACACTCCTTGAAGGAGAGACCCAGGCTCTGCGCTCTTTGGGGTCCACCCAAGTTCTACAGTCAAGACACAAGCACTATGTCACCATGTCTGCCACACCAGAAGGCAAGCAACTGAAGATGGCTTTTATTACACGAATATCCAAGACTGCTTCTACTTATTTAGCAGGGCAGGCCATTCAGAGAATTCCTGCCCTTTATTGCTGGTCATAAATTACACACATGTGACACATCTTCCAGTTGATAACAAACTGGTTTGTCTCAACACCACTCAGTCCCAAGAGACAACTAGCAATCACAACCAAGGTCTCTCGGCCAAGGTCCAGAGCCCTGAAGCCTGAGTGGACTTCAGCATGGTCTCTTCACGAGCCAGCACCTCTCCAGTCCCTTCTTCCTGTCCCCATACTGACCCCTTCCAGCCAAGCTTGAAGCTGGGCTCTTACACTGCAGATTCCTTGGGCTCTGTGCCCTGGGGCTCACTGCAGCCTTCTAGCTTTTTCTCCTTCTTTTTAGCTGAAAAGATGCCATCTGGGTTCAGATGAAGATCCTCCTCCCCACCTGAACACAGACACAGACACACACAGACACGCAGACACACACATACTGGTTAATCATCTCCTGTAGACCTCATGGTAAAGGCTATAACCCTTTGGCATAGTCATCTGTCTAGTGCCCAAACCTTTGTCTGGGATTTTCCACTGTGCAGGAACAAGCTGCATGCTGCTTTCCCTACTTCCCCATGGCCAGTGCTGGTCACTCGCCACTGGTCTCAGGCCACACCTTTCTGAGTCTCCTGGAAAGTGAGCAGAAGCATGCAGGTCTAACAGCAGTACCATATGAGGAAACAGGGAAACCCAAAAACCAGGGCAGCTGCTCCCCCACGTGCAGACAGACTCCCACCTTCCACTCGAATGGGAGGCTTGCCTGGCCCCCTGCTACAGGCGACAGTGGGCACCCAGTTTCTGCCCAGCTTCCTCTTTTCATTCTGCTTTGCCACAATCCTCATTTGTGCATAGTGCCTAGATGACCTCTCCTTGGCTTCTGACTGCATCTGGTGCCCAGAACAAAATGACATTCTTTCTACAGAGGATGGAATGCAGATAGCTAAGTAGACGTCAGCCAAGTGGGCATCAGGGAGAGCGTATGAAAACTCAGACTAAACTGAGGACATAATAAGCCTGTGACAAGCAGACTGTAACATCAAACCCCCAGGGGCGTCACTGGAAATTGCAAACTGCTCCTAAACAGATGTCATTCACATACTCATTCACACACAAAATCCTTACTGAGCAGTGTACACTCAGCTGTGGAGGGAAGAATGACAGCTGGCTTACCTTCCATCCACACACAGAACTAAGACAGGGCTACAGAGTCCATACATCATTGAGTAAAATAGGTACAGTTTGGGGGGGGGGAGGTGCTAGTGGTAGGGGGAAGGTGAAGGAAGGAGACGAAGGGGAGGGAATATGGTGGATAGACTTCATATACTTATATGAAATAGAACAAAGAAACCTCTTGCAATTGCTCTAAGTGGAGAGAGGAGAGGGCTGAGGAGGAGAGACAGTGGGTGATCTAACCAATGTACAATGTAAGCCTATTTGGAATTGTCACAATGAATCCTCCCCCACACAATGAATATATCCTAATAAAAAATTTTAAAATAAATTAAATTAAAAAAGAAAAGAACTGAACAAGTGGGCTATGACTTGAAGGAATTTCTCAGGCAGGAATGAAGCCAGGGTGTCAAGACCACAGTGGGTATCATATAGTGTGTTCGTAAGCTGACAATATACGAGTGTATCAGGCATACTAAAGACAGATAGGACTCAAGGACAAGACCTGGGGAGGTGGAGAAAGAAGACAGGACATAGTAGCCAGAGGGGGGCCCCAATTCTGAGCCAGGCTGGACCCCAGAACAGAGGCACTAACAAGGAATGAATAAAGAACATGATGAATACATTTGTATCCTGGAGGACCACCTAGTGCCCCGCAGAGGACAGTGTGGAGTGTGGGCAGGAGTGGGAGTGCTGCTTTGGGGGTCTCCCCCCTGGACAATTGACCTGGAAATCTGTGACATGTGAGAAGGACTGTGGGAAAGCAGAGGTGGTGGAAGTTTGGCGACCTACAGCAGAGCCCAGTAGGAGTCTATGGGAAGAAAACTGGGTTCCTTCAGAGGCAAAACAAGCCATGAGTGTGCACACACAGACATGCCCCCGGCTCTGTCACAGGAGCGTGGGCTGGTGCAGCCAGCCCCAATAGCAACCATGACACCTGATGAGCCAGCAATTTCTTCTATTTACCCAGATGGTAAAGGAATACTCATAGAATGACATGAGGGATGCCACAAGGACACAGGAGCCACCCTGAAGAGGCTCCCACTGGCCAAACCAGCTTGAATATCAAAATAAATAGTGATCATATTGAATTACAATCCACTGACTACAACTGGAGTCCTTGAGTAAGGACAGAAACATGTAAACCAACACAATAAAAGTCAACCTGGATTCAGCACACCTCCCCATCTGGTGGGACAGGGACAAGGACAGCAGCAGATGTGTCCAGAGAAGATGAAGGGAGGGCTGTGCAGGGCTCCCTGGGGGAGGTAGCAGTCAGCTTCTACTCCTCCTGAGGGGTCACGGGCAGAGAAGACATACCCTGACTCCTGATTCTCTGGAGAACACCTACATA